TTTCATTTTCGGCTCCAACGTTGCTGCTGCTGTTGTGTTGTTGTGGTTGCTGTTTCTGCTGCTGCTGCTGCTGCTGCTGCTGCTGCTGCCAGTTGTCGCTGCTGCTGCTGCTGCTGTTTATACGCTTGTTTGTTGTTGTTGCTGCTGCTGCGGTCGTGGTCGTCTAGAGCACGGCTCTACCCGACCCCTCTGACTCTCTCTCTACCATATATCGGCTTTGGTGCCAGGAGTCATACCGCTTGGCGTTCCGGCCCCAGGCGAACACTTGGATGCTAGACAACAGTCTCACAGAGCTGAACGTGACCAGCATGCTGCCTGCTCCCTACCACGAGCAGTACACGCTTCGGCTGGAGACACAAAGCGGCAGGTGCTACATCATTGGCGTCTCGAGTTCCCACGCCTACAAAGATATCCTAGAGAAAGTCTGTCCTGCAAAGCATAGAAATCCCAGGCTAAGCTTAGCTGCTGGTGGCTGAGGCTTGGACAGAGTGAACCCGGACGTGATTTTTTGCGACACCCTCCAAGCGCCGGTGACGAATCCGGAACAGATGCCCGTGGATGTTTACAAGAAGGAACAGGTCAGGGCACTTCTCAGCCCCCAGGCCCAGGACACCATCGAGCCTTCCCCAGACGTCGTGATGCAGACAAGCAACCCACGAGCACCATCCAACCAGCAAGCAATCTCACCGGGTGCGGTGGCTGTCGGCACTTGGGGAGCACCGCTCCTACCTGGCATGGAGGGGACGTCTACAGGCTGGTAGGGACAGTCTGTTCTTACTGGGATGGATGTATGGGAGTTTGTATGTAAGGGGCCTTTCGCCTTTCACACACATTAATTGACGCAGCGATGCAAGCCGTAGGGTTAATGTTTCTGTTGTCGGCACAGATCCGCCCTAAACCCTAAACCCTGAACCCTGAACCCTGAACCCTGAACCCTGAACCCTGAACCCTAAACCCTGAACCCTAATCCCCTCGGCAGGCACGCCGACATTGCCAACTCCCGTGGCTGCTACAGGCTGGTAGGGGCAGTCTGTTCTTACTGGGATGGATGTATGGGAGTTTGTATGTAAGGGGCCTTTCGCCTTTCACACACATTAATTGACGCAGCGATGCAAGCCGTAGGGTTAATGTTTCTGTTGTCGGCACAGATCCGACCTAAACCCTAAACCCTGAACCCTAAACCCTGAACCCTAATCCCCTCGGCAGGCACGCCGACATTGCCAACTCCCGTGGCTGTGCCAGGAGCCGCCCGATAGCAGTAGTGGATGAAACCATGCAGAGGTGTGACCTCGGTAGCTTGTTTGGACACCCGGCGCTTGTCCACCCAAACCTCGCACTCAACAGCTCATGTGCAGTTCGACACCCCAAGCAATTCTGCATCTCAGGAACCTGGTGCTGTTGCAGGCGAATCAGCGTGTCCTGTCCAGTGATCAGCATGTCCAGCTAGCAAGCCCATTTAAACGTGTTTGCGTGCTGGTGTTGTCGGGACTCTCGACGCAGGCGGGTCTACACCCGCTCCGATCCCAATGCCTGATGGCCAGGCGACGCCGGACATATCCATGCCTTTGCGTGTATAAACACATATATGTGCATGCATGCATGCCTACATACAGACACAAATGACATAAATCCATACATACACAGACATACATACATACATACATACATACATACATACATATACACACACACATACACGTGCACATACACGTACGCACACACTCACCTGGGAGACAGAGAGAGGAGAGAGAGTGAGGAGGAATTGGGCATCCGGCCCGTCCAGGAGCTCGCAACCCCTCCCTCCCCCAGAAAAACCCTGCGCACGACACAGTAACATGATCTCACGTAGCCCCATCTCAATACTAAACTGAATGTCCAAAATCCTGATCTGCCACGCCAGAATGCAGCTGCTCCTGCTGCCCGCGCAGCGGTGCCTGCAGCACTGCCAGGCTCGTAAATTTTGGCACTGGATGATTCAGTCGCTCGCTGACTTTCTCGTGCTGCCTCACCTTCACTTTCATTCTCACCCTCGCTTCTTGGCTGTTTTCAAGCTTCGTCAGTTCAGGGGTGTCTAGGAGAGAAGCCAAGCCTGATTTTGTGTTGTCGGGACTTTCGACCAGGCGAGACCCCGCCCGCTGCGACCGCAACGCCTGCTGTGACTGGCGAGGCAGGAACAGGAAGACAAAGTAACCTGACCACACGCAGCCCGACCTCAAAATCCTAATCTGCCACGCCAGAATGCAGCTGCTCCTGCTGCCCTCGGAGCGGTGCCTGCAGCACTGGGAGGCACCGTGGGTCCCGGCATCCAAAACCAGGAGGCACCAACGAGGTGTCCCCACACCAAAATCTTTGGCGCTCCTTCATTTGAGGTTCTGCTCAGTCCGGGTTTAGGGCCATCCAAGTGGTGTTCTTTGAGGAGTGCTCTTGGAATTGCGCTCGCCAGAACACGACATATTGCCAAGCATCTTGCGAGATACCAGCAAACACTTGAAAAGATTGATGGCCTGAAGCCCCACTCAAGAAAGCAGTCGGTCCTCAGCCTGCTCTAGCTAGGCCAATCAGCTCTCCCGCCGGCGCCGATGCAGGAGCTGGCGCTGGAATTCAGGGTTTTCGGTGGTACGAGGTCGAGCTGAGGTTGAGGAAGGAATGTGTCTTTGACGCTGCAGGCGTGAATGGGCTTATAGGTTTAGTATATATTTTAGGGGTTTACACAGTTAAGAAACAATGAGCCAGCAGGTTTAGGGTTCGCGAGCTCTGATCCTTGCGCCTGGCAAGGCTGTTGCTGAAGTGGAGGCCCCGCCAAGCTCGGACGAAGAAGAGCCGGAGGCTCTGTGGCTGCGCAAGCGCACTGTTGAAATATGAGGTTTCTATACTTTATGCAAGTCCTGTATGCTTTCTCAGTCATGTGAGTCATGTGATTTACACATGCTGTATGCAACCAATAAACGACGACTACTACTACTACTACTACTACTACTACTACCACTACTGCTACTGCTACTGCTACTGCTGCTACTACTACCACTACTACTGCTACTACTAGTATTAGTACTACTACTACTACTACTACTACTACTACTACTATTACTACCACTACTACCACTACTACTACTACTACTACTATTACTACTACTACTACTACTACTACTACTTCTACTAACTACTACTACTACTACTACTACTACTACTACTGCTACTATTGCTACTACTACTACTA